CCCTTAGGTCCTAAGACACCAGAGTTTTTAAAATTAAACATTGCAAGAGCATCTTGCAACATCAATATGATACAGCAAGCACGCCAAGCCTCGAGCATGTGGAAAAGTGTCTCTAAGTCAAGAGGCTCCCACGAGCGCACCCAGATTCATGAGGGAAAGCCCATCGAGTCTCACGTCACTGGCCCCCTCAACGAGGCGCCTGTGCCTCCAGATGCCCCAAGTGCATGAGGAGGGAGGGACCTGTGGGGAGAAGGGCCAGGCCGGCGGGGTGAAACCACAGCAGGGAGCCCTAAAAAGGATAAGGCTATTTCTAGGTCAATGTGGAGAGTTACACCACAGTAGCTGGGCGGACACATTTCTTATTAAAAACAAGAATATCTCTAACTGTGGGGGTCTGGAGGACCACACCTCAGGGACAGCCTGTCTATGGCAGGAGGAGAGTTAAGAAGAAAGAGGACCTTTCCTTTATACACAATATAGTTGGGGACTGCTCCAACTGTTTCCCAGTAAAAATATTCCCCTGGAGGGGCCCCTTGGACTCTAGGAGGGTCTTTCCTTCCTATCCGTCAGAACCGACGTCTACAAGGGGCGCCTGACCATCGCTGAGAGTTGCGCATGCGCGCTCTCCTGGAAGCCGGAGGTGCAACCACACCGGGCTCCACGTGAGAAGACCCGGGCCGGCCCTGACGGTCCACAGTCCCACATGGGAGCAGGACCACCTGGGGGCCTGGGGACGTCCACACCCGATGCCTCTCAGAACAGCCTTCAGGATGTGGCTGGACCCCGAAACCTCCGGATGAGAGCCACCTTCCTCGAAGCCCCAGCCTAAGAAATACCTGAGATGGCTCCGCACAGATGGGAACACCGACCCTGTGGAGCTGGGCCCGACCCCAGGCTCCAAAGAGGCTTGCTGCACCCCTGACGCTGTCTCCGCAGCTTACCGAGGGCTCACACCCAGCAGCCGACCTAGGCGGTCCCGCCGCGCCGCGGGAGGCCAGTTCCCACGGGGGCGGGGCGGGCGCGCGTAACCCGGACGGCCAATCGCGGCCCGCGCCGGGGAGGGGGCGTGTCCGCCAGAACAAAGGGCACCGCGGGACCCGAGCGCAGAGGGGGCCTCCGCCGTCACAGGGTGCCCGCCCGCCGAGGAATGGGGCTGACAGCGGGGACGTGACAACGTGGGAGGAGGCCATGGAAGGAGGGGTGACAGACGGGGGAAGAGTTACTGCCCGACAAGGTGTGACAGCGGTGGTGCGGGGGGCGGGGGCAAGATGGAGGGGGAGGAGGAAGAGGAGGAGGCGACTGACCGCCTGCCAATGAAAGGGGGTGACAGCGGGTGAGGGGGCCACGGAAGGAGGGGTGACAGAGAGGGGGGAGGGTGACTGCCTGACAAGGAAAAGGAGTGACAGTGGGAGTGTGGCAGCGAAAGAAGGGGCCACGAGAGGAGAGTGACCCCTCCTGGGTCCCCATCCCCTCCTGCCCCACTGCTCAGCCCCACAGAGCCCCTAGCCAGTGCCAAGAACAAGGTGGATGCTTATGTCACCTGACACTGGCTGAAGGGCCTTAGCTCTTTCACACATATTCACATTTTAAAATAATAGGTCGATAGTACATATGCCCAAAATAGAAATTTCAAGAATCAATGAACTGAAATAAAAGGAAGGCCTTGTCTTTGCTTTGAAAGGTAGTATCTATTTACAAATTCCATGGAACCCTGCGTGAACCAGAATGTGTAATTTAACAGGACACACTCCAGGCGATCCCATTTGGGGGTAATGAGAAAGTCCCTCTCCCACGGAATGAGCGGTAATTACTAAGGAGAGATTCCCAGGGGAGACGTCTGGCCTGTCAAACACTTCCTAAAGGGCTGAAGCAAGTCATCTCATGTGCTCAATGAAAGCTACAAACAAAATCTTTAGTAAGATTAAAGATGTGACTTCCTTACTATGCGCAGATGTACACAGGGTGCACCCAAAACAGAAAATGTCAAACGAGCATCCTAATCCCACTCACCCTGTTTTTCAGTGATAACCTGCATGCCATTTAGACTACGTTAATATTTTTATAATAAATAATTACATATCTTTAATTACTATTTCAGCCCAGCTTAAAATGACCACCTACGGGTAGGTGCTCACGGCAGCACCCTTCATCCCATAAGAACTGGACACCACCCCAATGCCCAGCAATGGGGCTGAATCAACACCAGGACATCCAGATTCCGGAACCTGGAACAGCTGTTAAATCATGTTTTTCATGCATTAAAAGCATCACCAGTGAACAATGTCACTTAGTCCTCCACACTAGACTCTGGGACAGGGTCAGACACACCGAGTGACTGGATCCCTGCACCAGGGTCAAGTAGCAGTGGCCCCCCTGGCAACTCAGGGCCCCAAGGTCCAGAGAGCTGACTGAAGTGGCCAAGGGAAATGAGGGACCTGATGCCAGGCCTCACCTAGACAAAAACATCTCTTCTGAAGACCTATTTGCAGAAAACATTGGCTCAAGAAGCAATTAAATAATGCATTTTTAAAACTTCACAGAAGTGGGCTGGCCCCGTGGCTCAGCGGTTAAGTGCACGCGCTCTGCTGCTGGCAGCCCGGGTTCGGATCCCGGGCGCGCACCGCTTCTCCGACTATGCTGGGGCCGCGTCCCACATACAGCAACTGGAAGGATGTGCAGCTATGACATACAACTATCTACTGGGGCTTTGGGGGGAAAAAATAAATAAATAAAATCTTTAAAACTTCACAGAAGTATCATACCATCTTAACCAAGGTGGAGCTGGCTACATTATTTCAACAGGCGTCAGGCTGCCTTACCAACAACACTATTTAACTATCTGGTGTTCAACTAAAAACCTTTCAGTAAGTATATAAAGTTTATAAGATCACCACAGATTAAAAGTTTACTCCCTGGGGGCTGGCCCCGTGGCTTAGCGGTTAAGTGCGCACGCTCTGTTAGTGGCGGCCTGGGTTCGGATCCCGGGCGCACACCGACGCACCGCTTCTCCGGCCATGCTGAGGCTGCGTCCCACATATAGCAACTAGAAGGATGTGCAGCTATGACATACAACTATCTACTGGGGCTTTGGGGGGGGCGGGAACGAGGAGGATTGGCAATAGATGTTAGCTCAGAGCCGGTCTTCCTCAGCAAAAAGAGGAGGATTAGCATGGATGTTAGCTCAGGGCTGATCTTCCTCACAAAAAAAAAAAAAAGTTTACTCCCTGGCCTAAGCATTTTTGTAAAATGAAGGAGAACAGACTCACACTGGCGTCTATGTGGGGCAGGGTGAAAGCTATCTTCAAAGGGAGCGTACCTGGAGCATCATCTCCCTTGAGAGGATCAGGGATGGAGTCTTGAAGACTTCCCTCAAATCAGACCCAGGTATGGACAGAAGCTGAACAAGTGGCTCTTTCTAGAGGGCCCTAGGGCACAGTGATGCCACCCCACCTCCAGGCCAAAATGGACGGGCCCTCCTCCCTCCTCAAACAGCCCACAGGAAAAAAGCAAAGCCTCCAGCTACCAATTTCTGACCGTTATGTGAAGATACAATCCGACCATACTTTTCCTGTTTCCCATTCTACATATTTCAAAAGAAAGACATCTGTTCATAACACCATTAGAAAACTTGTAAAAAAAAAAAAAAAAAGTCAACCAAAACAAAACCTTGATTTCTTAAACTTTAAAAATGCTACATATTAGGGCTGGCCCAGTGGCATAGTGGTTAAGTTCGTGCTCTCTGCTTCGGCAGCACCAGGTTCACAGGTTCAGATCCCGGGCGCAGACCTACACACCGCTTATCAAGCCATGCTGTGGCAGGCTTCCCACATATAAAGTAGAGGAAGACAAGCACAGATGTTAGCCCAGCGCCAGTCTTCCTCAGGAAAGAGAGGAGGATTGGCAACAGATGTTAATTCAGGGTTAATCTTCCTCACAAAAAAAATAATAAAAATAAATAAATAAGAGTGCTACATAAATGATAGTCTGCAAATAAAATAACTTTCCTATCAATTTTTTAAAATTAAACATGTAAACAGCAAGAAAGGAAACATTCTGGATATATTTGCACAGTGTGAGCAAACATTCTAACAAGCTTTCTGATCAAAAAACAACAGACAACTATGAAATGGTCCTAAACCTGAAAGCCATACCTCATAAAGCCTGGTTCTAATGCAAGATATTGGAGAACTGTGTCGCAATGAAAAGTGGGAAGGGAAGCAAAATTGGTTTCAACCATTCAAGGGTTATTGCTGACACACACACACAGTCCTTCCTGCACGGGCCTAAAAACAGGGAAATGTGCCCCCACCACCAGGACTGGTCACAGAAAAACTTCAGAGAAAAGATACGATCCCCTACAGGTGCCAGGTGTTGAAAGAACTGGAGGTCTGCCGCCCTCGGGTCAAGGCGCGGTAGAGTGGGACAGCAGCAGGCAATCTCCCGCCAGGCCGACACTGCACCACACCCTCCCACCCCCTCCCCCGACACACACACACACTTACTCGTCGCCGTCGGGGCACTCGCCACTGGACTCGTCGTACTTGGAGCAGTACACGTCCGGGCTGTAGTTGAACGTGCCGTCGCGCCTGCGGAGCGGTCTGCGCCGACGCTGATTTAGGAAATGCCAATGGAAACAGGTGAATGGCCTGTGCTGGGTGCACTTGTGCTGCACAAACAGGGCGCACTGCTCTGTCCTAAACTCCTTTAGATACCTAAAAAGACAAACATTGTTGCGGATCGCTTCCGCTGGCACTGCCGCCGGCGGGCGGCCCTGGGGACTCTTGGGCGGCGCCCCGACCCCAGGTGCGACCCCCCACTCCGAGCCCAGACTGCCCCAGACCGCCGCTCCCTTCCCCACTTTCAGCCTGGACGCATTCCTCGGATCCCAAGCATGGTTCACCCATTCCAGGCACGGTCCCCGACCCCAGCAGCAGCCCTCATCCCGGATCCTAGGCACGGTCCTCGACCCCAGCAGCAGTCCCCCATCCCGAACCTCAGGCATGGTCCCCGACCCCAGGCGCGACCCCTCACTCCGAGTCCAGATGGCAGCCCCCCAGCCCCCAGCCCAGAGGCGCTCTTCAGATCCCAGACACAGCTCCCGACCCCAAGCGCAGCACCCCCATCCCCGACCCCAGGCGCGACTCCCCACTCCGACTCCAGACGGCCGCCCCCGCCCAGCTCAAGCGCGTTTCCCTGACCCCGGACGCGATCCCCCAGACCCTACGCACAGCAGCCCCATCCCGACCACAGACCGGACCTCCAACTTCAGGTGCGACACCGCGATCCCGGGTGCGCCCCGGCCCCCAAACCCAGGTGCCATCCGTTGACCCCAGGCGGAGGCAGCCCGAGTCCAGATGGCCGCCCTGCCCCCGCGCCCAGGCGCGGTACCCCCATCCTCGATCCTAGGCGCATTCTCGGCGGCTCCCGACCCCAGGCGCTGTTCCCCGACCCCCAACCAGAGACGCGTGGACCCCTGAGCCCCGCCGCGTTCCCCAGCCCCCAAGCCCAGGTCCCACCCCAAGACTCTGGGCGCCGCCTCCGAACCTTAGGCGGCAGCAGCCGGAGGCGGATGGTGATCCACCCGCCCGGAACCCAGGCGCGGCGCGGGGCTGGGGGCGGCCGCGGCGGGGGCGG